GGTTGGCCTCAAGCTTTGGTGATCTACAGTCTGTGGTGTCACAGGTGAATGAAGTCGCCACTTCGATTGATTTATCCACAAATACCGGGAAGATCAGATTGTTTTCGAGCTGCATCCTCGGCCAGGAGAAGGCACTCCTCATGATAAATGGCTGTAAACTTAAAGGGGACAAAGTTTCAAGTACCTCAGGTCGAGGTTGCTGCCCAATGGACACAGTAAAAATGACATTGTCCCCCGAATCCTTAGAAAATGCTTATGGATTCGACGCGACACATCCATCGTCACGAAGATCCGCCTGTACTGGTCACCCGTCCGGCCAGTCCTCATTTACTCTACTGTGAGCGTAGAAGACGGGCCAAAACTGGCATTATTTGACCATCGCTGTTTACGGATTATCCTTTGAGTGTAGTACACATACAGTGTCTCAAACGAGACAGTCCTCACTGACTGCGACATCGCGAAGATATCTCATGTCATCCAAGAAAGACGACTGAGGTGGTTTGGGCACGTTCTCCGTCTTTCGCTTCGAGAGGTGAATTATGCTGACCTCGATCCGGCGTCGTTGCCCACTTGGAGGCGTCGAGGAGGAGGCTAACTTAGAACCTGGCTTGACAAAGTTCCTCAAGAAACGGAACTAGTTTCTGGGTCTTCTGTATTCTGTATTCTGTCCCCATCGCTGGAGAAGGGAATGGGATGAGCTGTCCAGATGCGCTGCTGCGAATCGTCACTCGTAGAGAGGTACAATACGTGACGTCATCGAGGTCATCTAGATCAGGCATGACCACAGCCGCACTAAGTACAAGATAGAAGGGGTGCAAACAAATGAATCGCGCCTCACTTGTCATATCGTCAGCTTCCTTTCTGTCCAAGTGATCATCTGGTCTCCATTCCGGGCCATGTGGTAAACATAGCTGGTACCGGCAAATAGGCAATGTGCATTTAAGTTTATGCCACACTTCCCATGTATTCTTTCACTTTAGGCTGAGTAGCGACGCCGAATTTCTACCAGACTATGATGACATTCAAAATATCCGAAATTCCTTAAAAGCGAAGAGGCCATCGAAACATCTGTTCCTTGGACCACATTTATATGATTTTCAGAAGATTCCGAATTACGTCCGCTTTGTCTTTGGTTGTTACCGTGTTATTGTGAAACAACATTGTATTGTTGCTCTGTAAGAGTTCGACGGTTGCAGAGCAGCGAGATCGTACTTAGTAATGTTCTTTGTCGATTACAGCCAAAATAAGCTGAAGCCCTTCTTTGTTTGCAGGGCAAAGTGTCCGCCTTCATCGTCCAAGATAGGCGAGATACCTTCACCATCCTTACCAAAGTGAGTTATTTCCAGAGGCTGTCGTTGCCATCAAGTGGCATTGCACTCCTCAGAGAGTAGTCTTTTGATACGCGAAACCAGTCTTCGATGTACGGTACCATTCGAAGCCGCGTGGATGCGATCTCGATTAAATACTGGGGATAGAGATGATGAGGTAGTCAGTAGACGCAATAAGCCTAAAGGTTTGAGATCTGTAAGCGCGTACGCCGTTGACCACCTGGGCATACGCTGGACTGTGTCGGACATTGTGGAGGCTGTCTGCTTTGAGCGCAATGCGGTGGACTCATAGATGGCATCCTGTAATGAATGTGGAGACTGCAGAAACAGTCGGAGTGGATGTAACTTCTAACTTGTTCTTCGAGACGTCAAGAACGTTCACTAGATTGCATTATGTGGACAAAGCCCTGTCTGAAACAAGTTTTCTGATACTCGTTTATTAGTGCCCCACCAGTTTGTCTGTGGGACGTGATGATGTGCATTCCAACCCCAAGTCCGGTTGAGTTCATCGCGTACTTCCTCGTTTGGGCACACCAGCAAAGTTTGAGGTTACTGGACCCAACTTTACAATTCTTTTCATATTCCTTGTGCTGATGAGTTGATGGCACTCGGTAATCTGTCAGTCAGCTACATGTTAAACAAGTCGGCCAATTTTTTGGAGTAAGTCTTGACTGGTACTAGACAGTTGCTCGAAGTGTGCCGAATTGTGGTCTTAACAAGATGCAGATCTCTAGCCGTGAAACTGCAATGGAACTCGCATATTTTATATATTGGCGTTCATGTTTCTTCCCTTGACGCGCGCATGATGTTTAGTTTGGAAGTGCCGAATGCCGCTTGTGAATAGTAAAAAGAGTTCGAACGTCCTCGGAAGGCTTAGTCTTGTTTTTTTTCTGCATTTGCATTCTTCTTATGTCTAGTTCTGCACATCAGAATTATCAGACGATTTTTACCCACCGTACGTCTCCGAGTGAACCTTCACAGCTGCCGCCGCCGCCGCCGTCGCCGCAACAGCAGCAGATGCCGACCCCGCCTACGGCTGCCGGTGCTGCTGCTGCTGCTGGAGAGTTCCGTGAGGCCAAAGGGAAGGGAAAAGACCGGTACGTCTAGTGAACCCCTTTCCTTCCTGTCTGTGTGTTGCATCTTTGCTGTGTAGCTGTGGAAGGCGAGCCCTGTGTGATCGGTATTTGCGCGTAAGGGATCTAGATGTGTGTCTAGGCTCGCCTTATTGAAATCTCAAGGTCTCTTTTTGTGTGGTATTTATTGTGACAACCGCTTCAGTTGAGGCTGCTTTCTCAGCCCCATAATTTGCCTTCATGAACGCCTGACGCTCGTTTGGCAACTTCATTGCCCGGTGGTGATAAGTGTCCCCTTTTGTATACTGCAACAAGTTTGATTTTTCCGACAGAAGGCAAGTTTGTATTGCATCGCTGTTCTGCAAAAAATTGTATTCCTTTATTGTATCTTAGCCCAGGGCTCATTAATTTTTCCACTTTTTGGAAGGGCCATGTGTCTCAAGGAAAAAGATCTGTGTCCGGCTCTACTTTTTCTTGCGCCATTATTTTCTCGTGTATAATTTTTGTGTGACTATGCTTTCCATCAAATACTTTTTAAACAGCATTTGTGCTGTCCAATTCAACGAGACCATTCGCCTACAGAGAAAAAATTGCGTCAATAAGTAGATTATGAAATATACTTATGTGAATCGATTAGAGGATTGTAGTGTGGAAGTCTCCATCAGTAGTCGAACAAAGTCTGCATAACTTTGCACCAGTCGACGCTCTGCAAGTACCTTGACGCTTGTTTTCTAGCAGTTGAGAAAAAAGCTGCTAGTTTTTCTGAGAAAAAACGTTGTTTGGCCATTTCGTAGGTTGTCGCCTATTCTTATCATCCGCGTTCATCACTAAACCTCTTCTGGCGCCCATGGGGGTTACGTATGTTTCCCCAGTAAGCATTCGTTTGTCGGCCGCATACAAAAGAG